ACCCATTAAATCATAAAAACTACCATACATAATAAATGAGACTTCCTGTAAACTGTATAACTAAAACATAGCGTAAATGATTTGACAACATTGTCATCTACCAGTCATTGTCCATGGACTCTCGAGTTCACCTATTAGTGAACTTAGCATCACAGAAACTTGTATTCACACCTTAACCAAGCCGGTAGTGTTTCTTCAATCCGCGTACTAAGCAGTTTTAATTTTTAAGCTGGGGATACATTTTTTTTATATCTGACAACTGTTTATGTAGAAATCGACATTTTTCATTTACTAGACGTATTATTTCAACTTGATCTATTTAAATGGCTAGATTTGACTATTTCCATAACTATAATAGTTTTGATAAATAAATTTGTTTCCTGGTCAGATTTAGTTTGCAGAACGACAATTTCTTCTAATATTGCACGTATGTGAGAGATGCCTAAAACCTTAACGGCTGGAAAAAAACTGTTTTTTTTTATTGCGTTTATAAGTGGAACAGATTGTGTCTTTAATGGTAGCACTATGCAAGAATGAATGTATGATTTGTTAAATAAAACGTAATTGTATCTAACTAGTTGAATAATACGGAATTATCATCTTTTGAATAAATTGAAGTTTCTTTTTGTAAGCTAAAATTGGAAAATTCATTCCTATATCCTTGTAGTGTTCATGAAGCGTACACTGAAATCCTGCCTCATAAGTTACGATAAACTTTTTGTTGGATAACAACTTATTTTGATTAGAAGTTAAAAGATCGTGAACACTATCCTATTTCTTAACTACTTCTCTAGTGCATTTTAGTCATTGTTAATTAGTGGGAAATAATCAATAAAAAGTCATAAGTCCATTTATATTCGTCTTCAGTGCGTATCTGAGACCTCAGAGAAACTTTGTTGTTTGTTGTTCTTATTTAATTCTGTCTACATTGATTAAAAAAATTCTGACAGGCAAATACAATCTTAATGTTCAGTGAACGAAATATGTACTATCATTTCGTAAATGGGGTCTTAAACCACCAGCTGAATGTCAGTCAATACTTTACATGGCTTTTCTAGTCCCTCAATTTCAGTTTCTTTCCTCATTAACTAATTGAGTTCAGTTACGTTGATTTTTCCAAATTAACATTATCTTAGTAAAGTTCTCTAGGTAAGTGAATGTTTACAGTAAAGTATCGCAATTTTTTGTCGTTGCAACTGTCTTACAATTTTGGATTTATTTGTCAGTAAACCTTATCGTAATGCCACTTATTTGAAAGCAAGTTTTGTATTTACAAATTTCAAGTTAATATGCAAAGTGACATTTATGCGGTAATGACCTGAACAACTTCTAGTGAAATTCTATGACTTCGAAGCATAGTGACGCGAGTTTAATTTCATATAAAGAAATGACCATCATCATGGTTACTGATGCTTCTTACTGATAAGTAGAAGCAACGGAAAAGACTTGTATAGAAGACAGTTTCTCACTTATTAACTCCTAAAATGCCTGTAGGAATGAATTTCATATAATAGAACCTCACTAGGCTAGATGATGTTTCACTTGTACGAGGCATTGTGGTCATAAACATTGATTCAAGAGAAACCACTGCCAGGAAATACTAACAAATGTAGAAAATTATTACTTTTTCAGAGAGAATCAAATAAACTGTGATAACCTGATTAAATGCTTATCAAAAAAATAATATTAGTGAAGTCTGATGTAATCTTGTTATAATGAAAGGGTTGTAATATAATGGAGTGATGATTAGATCTGGAAAGAAGTCTTGGTCTTTTATGTTATTATTCATCATCTAATTGTATTCTGATTTACTGAAGACCGCTTCCGCCTAGTTGCATCGTCAGTTTCAAAAGTCTGCAGTGCAACGCATAAGTTTGGTCGGAAATATACTTGGCTTAATAATCGAAGTTTATAAACAGTCATGCATATGTACTACTTCATTCCACGTAACAGCCTACCAATCTACGAATAGCTGTTGGTAGAAGAAAGCAGTCGGTTACCTGCATAGCTTCCTTACATTTATATAAGACAAGCTTCCAGACACACACACGATTCAGTGTATAGTGGAGTGAAAAGACAAAACTCAACATATTTTTACAAAAGGAAACCCAGATTTATAAACTCCATTATTCAGATGTTAAAAGGAGTTAGTTATCAAAAATACTGCCTACCTGTTTTGGGGTTTAATGCAACCTGTCAGACGTGGGTATTCACGATATGGACGAAACTAAATTGGCTGTGGTGACTGACCACTTCCATGGACGCAGACTGGTTCCTGGAGGAGGTTTAGAAAGTATTAACCAAGGTGTTATGAAATATACAATTTTCTTTCTCCAAAGGAACTAGCGATAAAATTTTTACGTAGATACACTAACTCAACTGAAATCAACTTCATTAATTTATTTCAAATTAGTAAAACGACGAATATCTTTCCTTGTTTCAATAACAATTACTTGCATTTGTATTCCAAGCCAAACTCGGCTACATTGATACTCGTGGGTCTGTATAAAATAACTACATAACTAATAGGCTTGGCTGTTGGCTTAAAATCGACTACAATATCTCAGTTCTATCCACCATTCGTCAACTTAAAAGCTCTAAACCTCGTATCAGTCTTAGTGGAGGAACCACAAACTTCTTTTTGTAGAAAAAACTTGCACATTTCATTTTTTTTAAATGCAGTTGTATTTTAGAGTTTAATGTGAAAAACGAAAACTGATACATCTCTTTAGTATAGTCCAGAAACATTTATACTCTTGCGTTTATGAACTTTAACAACACTATACGTCCTACTGGGATTATTAGTTTTTGATATCTAATTAAGCCATTCAGACTCGTCTTGAAAAGGCTTCATTCGTCGTGTAGGGTTCGCTGTGCATTTCTTAACTGTACATTGACTTCTTAATTTCTTCATAAGTCACCATAAATATTTATTAATTTGACTTTTGATTCGTGATCATGGTCATTATAGTTAGCCACTCAGAGTCTTTCTTCACTGTTACAGTTTATTTCAAAATTGTCAGAATACTGTAATCCCAACGGCTAGATTGATTCAATATATTCCACTGTCAAAAGTATAATCGAGCTTAAGTTTTGTTAAGCAATATGTAAGACTAAAAAAGTAGTTTGTATAACTAATTTCATATGTGTATACGTTTAGAGCTGCGATTATTTTAAGTAACTTATAATGATTGTATCTGATTGGGCGCTCGAATTATTCAAGGAAATTTGTAACCCCTGTGGTCTGGGTATATATAACCTGTAAGTGGATTTTCATCGACGATAGTATTAGATTTGCAACCACTTCTCTTTCTAGGAAGTAGTCAACAGAGAATGCACTTCATTCCTTTTGTACTAATTCCTTCAGTGAATTTTTATCCAGAAAATGCATTCTACCTTTCATCGAATCTACTGGTAACAAGAGTTATCGTACCATAAAAAAGATGTTATACACTTGAGATAAATAAAAGATCAAATTAATTGAGACCATCTTTTAAAGTAAAGGTAAAGATATCATCTGTATCGAAATGTACAACTTTGTCAGGCTTAGGAGAAGAAAATGGCTACTAGAACATATGACCCATTTTCGAAATCGAATTCTGTTTACAAAAGTTGGCTACAGTAAAATTCAGGCTGAGAGACAGCCTAACTGAGAATAAACCCATGCCTTGTTTAAATGACAGTGTTTGTCAGACAACAATTTCACAATAATGGGATAGAATGTTGTCACAAAATGGTAATGTAAGCTTTATCCCTAAGATTATTGTTTGAATCACCTCATATAAAATCATTCAATTAACTAATTCAACGTAAACATGAAATCCTTATATAATTCTAAATTTTTACACATTCATATATCTGAACTTATTTTATAGATGTAATATTAAGAAACGTCATACTGGCTTTTTGACGGAAGAAGAAATAAAATACATTAAACAGAAAGAAAAGAAAGGTGCAGGATAAGCACAAATCAATTCTGATGAGAAAACAATTTCCAGTTATTTAAATCAAAAAGACTAAATTAAGACAAGCTTTTTATATTTACACCGCTTACGCACAAATTGATTTGCACACAAATGAAATATGTATTACAGAATGAAACTCAAATGAAGACAAAACAAGGTATTTACTTTCCTGTTATCTTTCTTTACAAATACTTGATAATTCATAACTTACATTAGTCATCCACTATATTATATTTGTTAGTATAATAAATATTTAAAAAGATTACTAGTCCACAGAATAAATTCACTTAGATCACAATACTTTGTACACTTTAAACTATGTCAAATGACAACAGTGACGATTTGAAGTTCATTAATTTTCAGGAATGACTTAGTGATTTTGCAGTCCGGTATTCTCTGAATGAATGTTAGTTTACGATGTCAAATAGCTGAAGACATTTAGGAGGAAAATCTGAGCTTAAGAAAGCTGGTAATTGCTGTAGAGTTTTGAAACCCCTTGTTAAATATAATACGCCGGTAATAATCCGTTAAATGAATGATTAACACTTCAGAACGAATGAACTATATATGCACATGTTTCAAGTATGGTCTAAGTTGAGATTCATCCGATTAACTTCTTTCCGTCAACTACCCTAAAAACCTTTATTTATACTGTATATTACGTGAATGTCTTACAATTTATAAGAGTTCTAAACACAAATGCAACAGCTACCCACTAGTCCCTCGTTCTCAGTAGTTCTTGAACTGATGCTGATTGACGGCGGAATTCATCTTCGTATCAGTCATACTTCAGAAAAACTAACTTCTCAATTATTATTGTGTTTATTATCAAATGCTTTTTTAATGTAATAATCACCTGTAAAACCATAGAATTGTTAACTGTACAAGCATAATACAACAGATCATGTTCACCTTCAGTTGAATAAGAAGCATAAAGGTACATAAACAATTGCTGTCGTACCCTTATCTACGAATAGTAAGTTGGAAATTGTAATGACATATTAGACAAACTTCATGTTAGAGAATACTGTTTTCTCATCCTGAACCCCTGAAATAAAAAGAGTTAAACTCATAATGGTTAGCTTACAAAACAAAACAGTACGACTAAAACTAAAGTTAATTACGATAAAGTGAGAAAAAAAATGTAATAATATGTTATCAGACCAAACTACCTACTACATTAACTATCCAAAAATGATGTACTACACTTGATTAATTGATATTTTACCAAAGAAATTAAAACGCTAAGGCACCACTTGTTAGAATTAGCTTTTAATAGAGTTCTGCACAAATTCCGAACCCAGAGCCGCTAACTTAACGTGGTTTTTGAACTTACATATCGATATTTCGCTGCCAACAACTGTTGTGTCGCAGCCTTCAAGTGTAACTATGAGTGCTGAGAAACTTAGACTTTCAGTAATAAAGAAGCAGCAGAGTTACACTATGGCAACTATTTACTGTGTTCGATAAAACTATGAAGTTTTCACCATGAGGGTATAAAGTTGTTCAAAACTTTATTCCTTCCTCAGTTGCTAAGTCAACTCATCAGGTTTACACTATAAAAATACACATCACTCTTTTGAATAATGCTAATAAGATGTCAGTGAGACTAATCTATGAACTCCGCTTACGGTCGCAGTTAAGGATAAAGTACAAGATGTCTCGTTCAACCTGAGGAGAAATGAATGAATATTGTAAATAAGGTTCGTATATTAAAAACAGTAATAAAAAGTTTAAAATTACATATTTTATTTAAAAAATTGTTGTACATCTCTATTAAGATTAAAGATATGAAATGATACTACATGCAGGTACGTCGACACATAATTACTAACAGAAAGGTTGAAGACTTTTTTAATAATAATAATAATAATAATTGGCTTTATTCGAAATGATTACTTATGTTAAAACGTGGAATTCTCAGCATTTGTTACAATATTGGGTCTAATTTACTCGACAACTGGAAAAAAAGAAATTATTACAGGGCATAAGTAACCAGGATTGATAATAGCAGCAATAGCAATAAGGTCAAAAATGTACAAAAAGGATAAATTAATGATGATAGCATTAGTAGCTAAGATTATAAATCATTTGGAATAGTGACACCATATGTATGACATAGTTCGTTTATTGTTACCCAGGAAATACCAAGGGTGAGCAATAAAGAACAGGTAATAGGTAAGGGTTACTAATTTGTAAAAGTAGAGGTGGAGTGTTTCCTGACTGTCTTAACTTTTAATATAGACAGTTAAATAGGACATTTCCTTAGAAATCAGCAAGATATTGGGTGACCAAAAGTGGTCAGAGGATTTAACTATTCTAAGGTACTTTATGCTTGACTTAGTTTTTATTTCAGTGGCATCTGTTCTACAAACATTCTCTCTACAGACCTATTCGTATAGACCACGATTATGCCTGAAGGTAAAGTTAACTGTTAGAAATTTAAAGTAAGACCATTTAGCTAATGTTCGACAAAAGTCTATTAAGTTTGAAACAGTCAGATTGAGACGACATTGGCAATGAAACAGTCAGATCATCAGTGTATTTAGCGAAGTTGATTTCATCCGAAAGAGGCAAGTCACGAAAAAAATATAAAAACAAAAGGAGAAAGAACAGCATGGTTGACAAAAATATGTGATGATTATTTAATTTCTCGGAGACAGTGTTTCACTGAAGCAACTCAAAACACCTATGTACTCACGTTTGAAATGCAACATTAAACGATTAAGGAAATAACTCTGAACAGACATTCATAGGTAAACGGTCTGCGTTAAAATGGTGCCAACGTCTCAACAGCATCCACAATACTAATATCAAGCGGGTAACCATGCTTGGAGAGGAATTAGCAAACTCTATAGTTTGCCCGAGTTCAGCAGCCAGACGTTTTCCGTGACACATCAGGATTATGCAGATAATTCAAGATCGGCTTAATTCAGGGTTCACTGGCAGAAAGATTTTGCTAAACGACAGTATCCAAATCTTTGTAAGATATTTTTCGAATGTCAATAAACTTTCATCAAGACTGTCCCACTCTTTAGAATTGTCCTGGCACCTAAAAAAATAGATTAGGTAGGCTGGTGTGTCAGCCACTTTTCACGATACTCATACTCACCCTTAGTTATAATATACGGAAGGAAAAATAAGTACATCGACAATAATTAGAATCTCATAAATCTAGGTGTTCATAAAGGCTGAATGCATCTGCGTCAATTGTTTTCCCTGAAGCACCTGGAAAAGAAAGAGGAGTACCGTTGCTTCACTGCGAAGTCATAGGGACAACTGCCAGTGACCAGTCACACATCGCGTTTTCGGAGCGGATTCTGAAATTGTGTCAGTATGAAAATCTCACAGCTGGTTTACGATGTGTGGGGTTGAAGAGACGCCATACTTGACTTGCTGGTCGTGAAGCAGTAAACAGAAAACTGTTCTTATGTCCTTATTTTCCATCAGGACGACTTTGCCCTTGGAACCCTAACATCGTGTGACCGACCGCCACTATGAAGGTAACTGTACTTAGTTTAACGGCTATCCAAACGACCTTCCTAGAATGTGTCTGTGTTTCGTACTTCTCAGAACCAAAACAATATGTCCGGGAAAAATCTAGCAAATCACCACACATTTTAACTTCATTAAAGCAACAGTGTAAGGTACAACGAAACCCTGATGCTACGGAAACTGCCCGACGACTACTTAAGTTAGTTTTAGGAAACGAGACAGACAGGAGCACCATCCTCAACAACACGTTCAAAATCAATGATAAAAATTAAAAATTAGGCCTCATTAGCCGTTATAAGACAGAATCAAGGGAACAGAAGCCGTAGCTGAACTAAACGCCAGGCTGAAGAAAGGAAAAAAGACCTCAAGCTATTAGGTTTTCGGGTGGTGAGGTCTCGAAAACCGAGACTGCCGAGAACACGTAAGCGTTTCAGTGTGCTATACGAATGCATGTAGTCTTAGGAATAAGCTCGCCGAATTGGGAGAATTATCTGAAAGACTACAACCTGATGTGATTTGTATCAGAGACAATGCTTGTTAGGGGGGGAGTAGACTTAACTCCACTCATACCTGGGTACAACTGCATTAGAATGGACACAGCAATTAGTCGGAAAGGTGGCCAGTTAGGGCTATACATCAGGGATGACTTAGCGATTAGGTCAACGTTGTCAAAAGAACACGATAGCGGCACGAGTGAAGCCGCAAGTTGAATCATTAACTTGAACAAGGGCACTTTAATGATTGGGGTTATTTACAGAAGTCCTGCTAGCATAGCTGATGAATTTGTTCTAAATCATTGAGGGCGTGGAGTAGTAGAAATAAGGTGTCTGGTTGTTGGCCACTTTAACGCTTCACATATTAATTGAGAGGAATTCAAATCCACTAGTTTGTATACTTGTTTCAATGGAGAGCTCACACAGTGCTTGAATGTGCACTCGTGCAACATATGCATACACCAATACGATGTCACACTGAACATGAACCGTCTACTCTAGACTTGGTATTAACACACCAGAAGGAGGACGTTGGTAAAATTAGGTACCCTCCGCCGCTTGGCAGCAGTGACCACGTAGTCATTACTTTTACGTTTGAGATTCATTCTCTCATACACAGGTCAACATCTGCTAGTCCAAACATTTAGAAAGCGGATATACCGAGAATCCGGAACGCAGCAACTGTAGATGACTGGTCGGTTGATACAAGTCAGACTGACGAGGAAGCTTGGGTGGGAATACACTCGATTGTGTTACTTCACATTTTGTACCCTGGTACACTCCTCGAAAGCTATCGCATGAGTCCCCTTGGACTACTAGTGAAATAAGGAGGCTATTAAGACGGAAGAAGAACTTATGGGACCAATTTATTATGACAGGAAGGGAAAAGTTCCAGAAGGACTACTGCAAAATTCGAAATCTCTGTTAGTATATCATTGACAAGAATCGTATAGAGTACGAGAGACAGCTAGTACTGGATTGTGTTCATTTCCCAAAAAGGCTGTACTCGTACATCAAACGTAGGACTAAAACTAGCACTGGTATACCGTCATTCATAAGCATTAGTGGAGAAGTGACTGAGTCAGACGAGGAAAAGGCTGAAAATCTCTCTGAATACTTTTGTGACGTCTGATCGTACCACCCAGGGATATTGCGAGATCACTGCCATCGCCACTCGGATGCCCTCAGTTGTGGAAGAGCACAAGAAATTCCTCAAGCTACTGTCGAAACTGAAGCCAGGTAAATCACCTGGGCCCGATGGACTACAGCCTAAAATGTTAATTTCCTTGGTGGACATAGTATATATTCCACTTACGGAGATTTTCCAAATGTCTCTGACCCAGGCTAACCTACCCAGGGACTAGAAGGATGCCATTATAAGCCCTATCTTCAAAGAGGGGAACAGGCAATTGGTATCCGACTACCGGCTAGTAAGTCTGGCATGCATTATAGCAAAGGTATTGGAAACAATTATAATTGATCAACTATCAGCTAATGTGGAAAAACATGGCTTGTTGGCGGTGGAACAGCATGGATTACGACCCGACAAACCTACTATTGCCTAGGGAAGACTGAGTTGAGGCCAGATATATAAACTTCTGTTGAACGTGGTTTTTATCGATCCTAGTAAGGCATCCGATAAAGTATCCCACTTAGGTCTCCTTAGTAAACTTAAAGGTTTCGAGCTATACCAATGCCAATGTGAGTGGTTTAGGGACTAGGTAATAGATAGAAGGCAGATGGTTAGCGTTAGCGGTGTACTATCAGGGTTGAAAGCGGTATCCAGTGGAGTGCCTCAGGGAACTGTATTAGGCCCCTTGCTATTCCTACTATACGTTAATGAACTGCCGGGGATTCTTACTTCATCTTCATTATTATTTGCTGACGACATCAAGATCTAGAAAACTGTAAATAATAACGATGATAGGTTGGTCCTACAAAGTGATCCAGATAAATAAGCTGAGTGGTCAAACCTGTGGAGTTTGAAAATAAATTCTAGGAAAAGCGCGGTAATGCACTTAGGTCAGAAGTCTTATACGTTGTACTCTCTAGGGGACAGAAATACCTGATTTTAACGGACAGAAGAACCTAGGAATCATTGTCAGCAATGATTTGAAAACAACTGCAAATTGTAATGCAGCGGCATCTAAGGCTTTTCGAATGCTATGGGCAATCCGAAGAGCTTTCAAACGATTAGACGAGTCTATGTTCAAAGTACTCTACGCAACTTATGTCAGGCCTCATCTAGGATACTGCATACAAGTGGCTGGTCCATGCTTCAAGAAAGAGGGATATATCTTAGAAAGAGTACAAAGGGTAGGAACCAAATTAGTTAGTGTTATCTCACACATCTCTTCCTGATATCATACCGAAGGAAAAGAGGCGACTTAATTTTAGCATACCGTATAATTAAGGGTGATTTCTGAACTTTTCTCCCCTTCTAGGATACATTTACGGGGTTACCGCAAAATTGGTGCTCAAACCAAGGAGGATTAAAATACATGCGTAATTTAGATTCTCTCACAGAGTGGCTAACGACTAGAACTTACCTGATTCAGTAGTATCAGCTCTATCGGTGAACGCTTTCAAATAGAAGTTAGATCTCTGCAAAGATATATATTGCAAGGATTAACACAGGTCACAAGAGCCTACTATCCTTATCATCTGAATCTTAAGTATGAGAAATTTCTGAAAGTTGTTAGTAACAGGATTTAAAATTAAAACCTGCTTCCACTTAAATTGCATGCAGTGCAAACCATATCGGAAATAAATTAAAGATGAAATGGAAAGGCACAGTTTCAGAAACATAAAAGCCTCAACGGTAGACTCGTGGGCTATGGAGTAAGTCTAACATGAAGTACCGAAACAAAACCTCAACTCGATGACTGCTCAAAATGTGTCGTAAACAGCTAAATTAGCGATGATGTACTTGAAATTAATTCTCATGCAAAATTATTTACTAATTAACCTTATACGTAATTCTATTGAAAAAATGGGATAATTATAAACTTACAATCCTGCAGCAACCCGATAATCTTCATATGAAACCCGCTTATCACAGTCTTCATCAAATTCCCTAAATACGACGCGGAACAAAGCAGTCGGTAAAGCTGGTATATGTCTATTTGACAACTGGTATAAATCATCCATCATTACAAAATCCTTCGAATTAAGATCAAGGCAATCAAATGATAACCGTTTCTGTTCTTCATTATGTAAAGCATTCTTTGCGAAATTTCTTTGGAACAACTGAATGGAAGAAAGAATACTAATCATTACAAAAGTCAGCAATTTAACCAACCCATTAAATGTTACACCGACATGCTCTCCCTTGGAATTTACATCAAAAGACGATGTAAGCAATTGCATCTCTTCCTTGTTTGGTTTCCTCCCATAAAGCTCAATAAACAACAGCTTACAACCCTCCTTGTCTAAGAATTGCCCATCAAAGCTATAATTGCTGAAAACACGGTGAATTAGATTGGACATAATGACACGACGAGCCTTTAAGACGTGGAATTCAAATATATTTAGCTGTTAGTTTGAAGTAACGTCTAACCGTCAGTATCGGACGTCTTATACTTGTTGGAAGAAAAGACCTAAAATGAGAACATAAATACTGAACTAGAACACAAACGTCAACAAGAAAGCATAAAAAGTGTTGTGTCCTCACATATATACTGCTAATTAGTTAAATAATTCTGACAAGTTAAGATTGTGTTTTTAAAAACCTACAAATTTCCATAGTAACACCACAGATTAACAAGGGAACTATTGTACATTACTGTGCACCTATACAATATTCGCACTGGCGTCCTTGAGTACGTTTTTGGGGAATGTAACGAATAGTCTGCAGCCAATGGACATCAAAATACCCAAGAACCCAATTATCTTTTTTTAGATTTCATTGGCCAGTCCTACCAGTCTTCGATTCGACCCACTCTCCTTCCATTCCGGCTTAATCCCACACTGCCTAATGTTGCCCACCAAGGAAGGCGACGGCTCGATATGTGCAAAATATCCCTGACCATCCTAATCGGTTCTCGTTTACAAACTCACTGACTGATTTACCTCCTCTGCCCTACCTAACATTCTCCATCCAACCTCCATATGACTCACCATACTATACCATTTTACACGGAGACAGAACGTAGAAGCCCATGACGAAAAACATCTAGCCTTTTGGCATCTTGCACTTTCAGCTGCCATGAAGGGTGTCAGAGAGAAATGACGCGCAGTACATACAATCTTTGATAGATAGCCAGATATAACTTCTATATAAGAGGTGACATAGGTTGGTCGTGTGATACAGTTCTGACTGAAAGCTAGGAGTTGGTGCAGTCTAGCCTTACAGCATGACCTTTTATTCTACTGGAGCGAGTCGCGTAAAAAACATCCGAAGATTCCTGCAAAAAGTGTTCCTCATTTCATCAACGTCTTTACGTCGGGCAACGAGACTAAGCATAGAAACAAGTGGGGCCAAAAGTTTCTATAGCGCCCTATAAAGTCAACTGCATCAGAATATCTATGATGAAATTATACAAGAATGGATACAGTGAAAAACCTTGAGATTCATCACTAGTTGCCGTCATTTTAGTAGACAGCCCTCCATAAGATCTTATACAGCTGTTTGATTTCAAAAAGAATACATTTATTAGCTTATCGTATATCTTGAACACCACCTCAAATACGCAAGTTTGTTGGTCCCTGGAGTTTGGATACTATATCAGCCAGGCTTACTTCCTATGACTATCACATGAACATTTCTCTTACTTCTTATAAACTGGGACAACCAGTGACTAACACCAGTCTACTGGAACCACCTCTGGTTCTCAGCCATCGCCTAATACCTTAGCTCACCCACACAACAGTTTGACACAATGGTTCATAATAATGAGCGAATTAGGGTTATTAACAGCATTAATTTTTAAATAACATTGAATCAGTAATAATATCAATGGATCATAGTTCAGTGGCATCTGTAAGTATGATAGCAGGCATCAACATAACACTACACTGAATGTCAAATAAATGAGAACAAATAACAATACAGAATTCATGAATTTATACGCTCCACAGAGGGGCAGGACAGTAGCAGCAGCTGGGCCTGTTGCTTCTGCTCACGCAACACTGGCTGTTTTAGGTGAACCTTAATTCCTCTCTTGTTTGGAGTATTCCTAACCTCAATGACTTCGGCAATTTATTTGGTACCCGATAGATGATAGAAAAAGATTCCTCTGAGCTGGATTTGTGGCCAGTTTGGGCCAGGTGGTCTAGTATCAAGCTGCAGGCACTTATCACTAAACCCTCATTTAACCACATTGGTAGATGTTCCCGAGCACGAGAAGTCACATCTCTAAAGCAACGGCGTCGGTGGCACAGTGGTTAGGACTCTCGCCGACCATGCACATGGTCCGGGGTTCGATCCCATGCCGGCGCACACCCGATATCTATGGTCGGCCTGCGAAATTTGGGCTACCGATATCCATGCTGAAAATTCCATACTTCTACCAAAAGTACTGTGTGGAATCAAGCCGTAATCAAAAATTTAAAAAAAACTTATAACTCGCCCCACAACAGCAGCTGCATCGGCTAGTCGGGGTTCACAACCGACAGTCGGAAATCGCATCTCGCGGCGCTGGTTGTAATAATGCATTTAACTGACAGATTTCAAGGGTTGCAACCAGCATTTACTACATCACTGATTAGTCTCGGGACATTAATTCTGAGCGAAGTTTCCACAGTAAGATAGCACTGAAAGTGATGTTCGTCACTTATGAAAAGAGAGAGGCTCTCAGATAATCTTAGAGGCAATGGAGGTAAATAAGGAAATTGAGCATTGACAATTGTTTTATCAAGTGCAATGAGAAAAAGTCTGACTTCTGTACTAAAGCTAAAAGAATGGAACGTAGGCACTTCCGAAGAATATAATTCCTCCACACATTAAGGGTATCCAGAAGCAGTACACTACCATTATTTCAGTTAAAACATAATTTCAACCCATGTGATCACGGGTGTTAACAAAGAATTCAACTCAATGTTTAAATGAGACCTATAACTGAATAAGCGCAGCTGCAGCAGTCACAGCACTACTCCACTTAGAAATTTTAAGGAACAAGTACTGTTTCCCCTTTTAATAATAAGTCAAGCAATGATCTAGTCACGATGGCAAATCTGTTTTCACTCAAATACAATAAGAAATACTTCAAAATACTTCTGTATTTCCTGATGTATTGCACTCACTGACAAACTAGCAGATTTTTCCAACTGTGCATAGAAATGATTGTATATAAGTGAAAAGCCTGTTTTATACTACTGGGATTAACATTTATCAAGTGTATGTATAATCTCCAGCGAACATGTAAAGCATATCTTGCTGCTGCCTGTAAATTGTAATTGAATTATATGGTTCTATTTCTGTAACAATTTGATGATGCCTGTAAACTGGCGTCCCTCATGTACTGTACTATGAGAATAAATTTATTTATTTATATAAATCTCGCGCATGGTTTGACATATTCCGCGAAGTGTCGCCGTGATCACGGGAAGTATGCATTTGCTTTAAATGCGTTAATCTATTGGCTCCCACCTCCATTAAGTATATGCAACGACAACTGTAGATTTATATATTTTCTCGCCACTGTGGATAGATCATCACCACATTCTTTTTGGAAAGGAGACCAGTTGGTGGATTATATATAATGTCGGTGACACAGTGGTTAGGACTCTCGCCGACCATACATATGGTCTGGGGTTCGATCCCCTGCCGACGCACAGCCGATATCTATGGTCAGCCTGTGCAATTTGCGCTACCGATATCCATGCTGAAAATACCATACTTGTACTGAAAATACGGTGTGTTATCAAGCTGTAATAAAAAATAAAAAATAATAAAATAAAAAATATCTTTCCATATGATGACAACCGTTCATTCTTCTTTCTTATTCTGTAGCTTAAACAGCATTCTTCTGTGGTTTTCATTATCAGACACATTGTTCATTCTGTGAAGTATATCAATAAACAAATGACGACTTCATGTTTTGGTTTAATTGTGAACTTTGGAAGGTAGTTATCACATATAAAAGACATTAATTATGAAAGCCAAAGTAACAAATATTTCCATCTGTTCAAAGTATTTCCTTTGAGTATGTTTCTTATGGATAGTTTGCGACATTCCCACTGGTTAAATAGGGAATTTGAAGTCGTATTCACTTCCACCAACTGCCTCTTCAGGATGATAGCTTGCAATAACTTCATATGCTCAAGCATTTAAACCAGAACTTCGAGAAGCTGTTTAGGTGTGAGGCAGAATTGTGACTCCTAGATCCGTCACAGCCACAGATAATTCACGAAGGACTCTGGAAAACCTTGTTGTTCTGAAAATGAATCATTTCTGGGACTCATATAAATTTCACAATAAAGGTACTAGCATTAGGATAAATGACCTACCCTTCAATAGTAATATAACACTTGGCGTAGGGAGTGTTATATTTCAGAGGGACCATACACAATGTAGTTCATCTCCCAATGAGCGCAGAAGTCAGAATGAGCCGGTGCCGCTTGCTGTTGTCAGCATTCAGGTTCCTCCAGCATTCCGTTTGAAGTTGGATGTTATTTTTACGGGTGCGATCAAGTGTTTTTTTCCTTCACGTTTCCCAGTGGAACATAGGGCTTCAAGCTAAAGGCTTGAAGTTTCTGTAGCACTGTTTATTTTACAGGATGAGGTTGCTAGCCCCATGCCCAACCTTTCCTCTTCACCAGCATTATTTCTGGCTTAGCGAGGTAAAGGTGGGCGTCGGCCGGGGATCGAACCCAGAACCATGTGCATGGTCGGCGATCAAGTGTGATATACGTTACAACCACGAAATGTCAATGAATTAGTGCTGTTGGTATACTTTAAGTAGTTAGCACAAGCTATCCAAGGATTTCTGCTTGACTGATCAATCCCTATCCATCAAAGAGGTCATCATCGTAGGCAAGTGGGCAAGCCAAAATTCGAATCGTTTTCTGTAGGTGCGAATACTAAAGTACATTGTAAAAGATACGTCCAACGTTTGCGTTACATTTTAGCTTGATTCGCTATAAATTTCTATTTTTGCTGTGAGACTCGCACAAGTATTTCTCCAGTTCCATAATTGTAACCAATAACTCTTTCACTAATTAGTTATGGTTAGTCATACAATAAAGCTACGAACTCAGTCACCTGTTAACCTGATGACTGATAGTACATATTTGCTCGCAACAACGAGCAGCACAACTCCCACGAAATATGGAAGTGAGGAGCACACCTTGCCGATACGCCGCAAGCGTCAAGCTGCTGTAACACTACCATCCACTGCGGCGGGAACTGATAGGAAAAATATTCTGACGACTACTTGTAACATCACTTCTACAAACTTATCACCTGGTTGCGACAAAGACCTCTTCACTACACCTTACATACGTGTCACAAAACTTTCGATACCAAGTCCAGCTCCAATACTTACTTC